GGAACAAATTTCCACTGGATCTCCCCCACATGGGTACAATGTGTGAAGCCCATTTCTGGTGTCCCCCGCCGTGATGTTGCTGGAACATTGCTAAAAGCGGCGTAAAACCAAACTCAGTCAGTCAGTCAGTCCACTTGATCTCAAGACTTCACACAACTGACCTTTCGATATGGAGTCACGACACCAAAGAATTTCACTCAGCAAACAACACAGAATTGTGTATATACATGTATAAGTCTTGAGTTGTACTTTCACCTTCACTATAAACAACCATTTGGTGGATGTAATGTATTGCTTTACAAAATTAAAGAACTTCTCGTAAGAAATGCTATACAGAAAGAGTGAGTATGGTTTTACGCCGTTTTAGTAATATTCCTGCAATATCACGTCAGAGGACACCAGAAATGGGCTTCACATATTGTACCATGTGGGGAATCGAACCAGGGTGTTCGGTGTGACGAGCGAACGGTTTAAGCACGAGGCTAAACACACACACACACACACACACACACACACACACACACACACACACACACACACACACACACACACACACACACACACACACACACCATTAGAAAGACGATAGTATGACAGACAGTTCCAGGTATTTGTGGGACGCTTCAATATTTTGTCACCACAAGTGTGACCACATAACGGGGAGTCGTCCTACATGCTCTCAAGGATATTACATAATTATATGAAAGTGTTTCCATGAACACTTTTGTAGCTATAATTATAAGTTGAAATTATATAAGTGGCCTTGACATGCCTCATTCTCCATTCAGCATACGCTTGTCAACGAAGCTGAAGCATCTGTCCAGTAAATGACAGTATTCACTGACGATCTGACCTCAATACAATTGAGTGAGTGACTTTAGTTTTACGCCGCGCTAACCAATATTCCAGTTATATGGTGGCAGTCCGTAAATAATCGAGTCTGGATCAGACAGTCCAGTGATCAACAGCATGAGCGTCGATCTACGCAAATGGGATACGATGACATGTGTCAACCAAGTCAGCCTGACCACCCGATCCCGTTAGTTGCCTCTTACAACAAGCATGGGCTACTGAAGATCAATTCTAACCCGGATCTTCACGGGTCAGCTATAATTGTAAGTTATTACAGCTGGAATAATAAATGGCCTTGCCATTCTTCGTTCTCCATCCAGCATACTCCTTTCAACGAAGCTGAAGCACCTGCCCATTAAATGACAGTATTCAAAGAAGATCTGACCACAATACGATTGAAAAGATACTCACAGAACGATGCTTTTCATTTGGCTACTGTGTACTAGAAGACACAATAAAAATGACATTGAAGCCCTTTAACTTCCATGCATCAGCTTGTTTGTACACTATATTTCTATGTGACTAATGCGATTCTCTTTCAAATTCAAGATTCGTAATTCGTAATTCTAGTACAAACGGATTTTGTATTTCTGGGTCTAAAGAGTATAAAGCTGATATTGTTAAGTTTCATCACATATGAAGCTAAACAAGTGAATAGAACTCTATAGAAAACACATGTGTAATTATATTTTCCTTGATATCTAAACAAAGTCTCAGCCAAACCTTAGTGTTTAATAGAGAAGGCTAATCGAAACTGTCTGTTACAAGAAAGTCTAAGATTTTGCTGACACCTTGTTCAGCGACTTTATCGGAGGAATGGACAATTATCTTTCTAGACAATATGATATGTTCAATCTAATTTAAAAAACGTGCGGATCTAAAACTTTAACCATTAGAACACTTTAAAAAGGGTTAAAGATTATTTTTAGCTTTAACATTACATTTAATCTATGGCTAGGTATTCTTTACTTAACATTTCAAAGGGCAAATCTTGCTGACACCGTGTTTAAACCTGTTGCGACTTTATCGGAGGAAAAGATATTAATCAGGGCCTAGATTTTCGAAGCTCTCATAGAGCTAAGATAGTCGTATGTTAATGTTATTGCATGGCACTTACGACTATCTTAGCGCTAAGAGAGCTTCGAAAATCTAGGCTCAGGTCATCTTTCTGCACACTGTGATATGTTCCACCAAATTTCCTCGCAAGGCCTAACACTGCGGATCTCAAACTTAAGCCATTAGAACTCTTTGAAAAAAATGGTTAAAGAATATGTATCTTTAACATTTAATCCATAGCTAAGGTATCCAATTACTGAGCATTTATTTAAGGGCAACGACTGCCATTGTGTAACGATTGTTCTAATCACTAGGCGTTGGAGAAACCTAGTGGGTAAAGCGTTCGCTCGTCACGCCGAAGACCCGGGTTTGATTCCCCACATGGGTACAATATGTGAAACTCTTTTCTGGTGTCCCCGGCTGGGATATTGCTGGAATATTGCTAAAAGCGGCGTAAAACCAAACTCATTCATAATTTGGTAGTGAATCCAGTGCTGTCCATGGTAACCTACATGTGCAGGATTTGTGGTGGGCAGGGATACATGCTGTCTTTCTTCAGTATCCAGTGAAGATGCATTTTGATTTATATCCTTTAATCATATTTATAATCACCTTTAAATAATAACCCGGTTTACTTTTTGAGTGAAACCGGAACAAGGTTACAAAAGAGAGTGTCTTGTAGGTATTCTTTCAAAAGATAAAATAAAATAAAAGCTGATATATATCTCAGAATATATTTGTATTTATTAAAAGAAGGACAAGTGAAATTCAATCTAAATTCAATGATCTACAGTCAAACAATAACACAGATTAAAGAATGATACAATATTTAACATCACAATTCTAGTTGTATAGAAATAACACGTAAGCACGTTCATAGTTGTAGATTTCATTATTACTAGAAAAATAGAAACTAAAAAAGAAAAGAGGAATCGCATGTTACTCCGATTACACAAATTGAAAGTAGACAATAAGAACATTAACCAACATTCAGTTACAGGATGGAAAGATAAGGTGACGATACCTATTTATTCTGGCACCGAGGAATGAGATCTTCGGAAATGGAGAGCGAACATTATGGCAACATGTTGTTTCTTTCATATAACTACATAAGTAAAACCCCCGTGTCTTACGTAAAGACAGACAGAACTAGACACCGTTTGTTTAAATGAGTTTACCAATTTTTCTAATATTGTATCCCCAAATGTGACAAATCAGGATATACAGAAAGTAAAGAATATATGCCAGAGAATATGCCCTAGTCTTTCTCACAGTCCCTGAACCATATTATTTCCCTACAGCCTAGCCCTCCCTGCAATGCTAAAACCCTAAATGAAGCAAGTCTAGATTTCCCCAGGTCTGAATCTCTGGTCTACCAGGGACTCCTATTCAATTAAGATGGATTTATTTGCTACAATCAAAATTATATATATTCAGATTAGCGTTAGTCTAAATATGCCCCAAATATCAACCGATTCCTTTTGGGCAAAAAAGTCAAAATAGTTTTAAAACGAATGTGATCGGATCACTGAAAATCAGTTATGACACACACAGAAACCATAGCTCTACTGCTTGCACGCACATGTGAATACAAAATTATGTGGATAGGGTTAGGGTGCCGGGCTTCTGTGTATGAGTGAGTGAGTGTAGTTTTACGCCGCTTTTAGCAATATTCCGGTAACATCACGGCGGGGACACTAGAAATGGGCTTCACACATTGTACCCATGTTGGGAATCGAACCCGGGTCTTCAGCGTGACGAGTGAACGCTTTAACCACTAGGCTACCCAACCGCCCAAACCGAGCTTCAGATGTATGGCAGTAACAAAAGCAAACTGATTAATGATTAATCTATTTAATATTTCATAATATGAACAGCTAAAAGTAATATCAGAAAGCTTTCAAGACAGACAGATAATTTTATACGTCTAAAGGCCAACTGATTCATCATACTAAATACAATTAATCATATATTTTCTCTAAGAGCCTCTTTATTGATAATTTTTCTGTTGACAAACGTGTACATTAAACCATAAAAAGATTATCATAGTATCAATTTCGGATAATTGACAGTCTATTCCCCAAAAATAGAAATAACTTTAAAATGTCCCACCGACGTGCACAAAGAGGACAATTATATAAGCATGACTTTCACCATCAATTACATGACACTGTTTACACGACATCGCATCATACGTATTACGTAGATGTGGTCGACAGGGGAGCTATGCTCAGAATTATACGTACAATCCGTTGACGAGAGGAAGGAGGTGAGGTGAGGTGAAATTGGGTTTTACGTCGTGCTCGAGAATATTTCGCTTATATGAGGACGTGCATGCGTGTGTATGTGAATGTGCGGATGCTTGTACTAGCCCAGACTTAAGCTGGTTTATAGTGCTAGCCCAATGAGATACCATGCCGCAGTGAAACATGAATACCCCACTCAGACACATTATACTGACTCCGAGCCGACCAGTCCTTGTTGTACTCATTAATGCCGAGCGCCAGGCAGGGACCAACATGTACCATATTTTAACGTCTTTTGGTATGACGCGGTCGGGGATCGAACCCGCGACCTTCCGCTCTCCGGACGAGAGGAAGGAATATGTTGAGTTCAAACATCTTTAGTTGGTTACACAATACATGAAATAACATGTATACATAAATGAGGTGAGTGGAGTTCCTGCTCAACACCAGGGCGTTTCCTACGATCGGCATTATCCTGCCCGCGGTCGTCCCTACACTGGCCATCGGAATACCGGACTCCTAGACAATATAGATGTGAGCATATATAGTTACAGACAACAATGGACAGGCGAAGACTCAACAATGGACAGATAGAGAAATAGTAGCACTTCCTTGACCAGTAGATGTGATGGCAGACACGGCCAAGAGGGATGGCCAATTAAGGATATAAACGTCATATACAGTAATTAATGAAAGTGACAGAGTGGTACAGGGTGGTTGACAATCAATCAAGACAATGTATACTGCGGTAGTGATAAGGAATAAGAATGCAGATTAACGTCATACAAATAATTACAATTATGTCTAACATGGCTTGGCTACATAGTTTAGGGTTTTTCTTAAATATTTGGAGGATGGCTGTTCTTAATTAGATGCTATGACAATACTAAATATTAGCACTGATACAAACAAGCTGAATATCAAGAGTAATTTGTCCACATCTACATCTAGTAATTAACGTTCTATATCTACAATGCTCAAAATTTGATAAATATTTCTCAATTTGTACAAGTTGTGTTATCACAAGCATTTGACATGGGAAATATTATAAAGAGGACAATTGCCATATTCACAGATTGTAGTTCTATGGCTATGGAAGCGTAATAGGATCATAGCCCAAAAAAATGTGACCTTCGAAGATCTAAGCGTCATTTACCTAGATCTAAGTATCAAGGTTTACCTAGATCTAAGCTACGTAGACGAAGGGTGGTGTTTTGGACTGTGGCACTAATACACTTCTATAGTCATTTTGCTTCTGTATAGTAAACAAAATACAAAATTTGAAATGAAAAGAAAATACAGTTATATTATTTAATTTTATACACATCAGAATAATACTTTACATAAATATATAAGACTACTTCCTTAACCGAAACATCATAACGTCTGTTTACTCACTCAAATGAAGTTTCACAGATTACCGTACAAATTACTGAGGGGGTGAAGAAAGTCCCAATTTTACAGGCATTAACTGCTTTCATGTGCTCACCTTTAGAGAACTATTTCTTTGTATTTTCTCCCATTATAAACACATAACTGTTCTCAGTATCAATATTCTTGACAGGTTACAAGAGTTTAAATGTAATTCATCATACATCTTTGTATAAAATTGTCAACAAACAACAGAGCAATTGTATTCAACATTTCCCCTAAAATAGACACTCAATGCTGGAATTTACTTTCCAACTAATTCGTGCATACACAACGACAAGAGTACAGGAATAAGAGAGCAACCTTGTCTTACCCCACTATCTAAATAGCTCGGTCATGTGTTACCATTGCTTTATATACATATATATGTACACTTACTGCGGTAACATATAGAAGAAGGACTGCAAGCTGAATCATTCATTGAATTATTCACAGGCGCTAGTTGCAGAGAGGAGCTCTTATACAAATACTAGTAATAGTGTTCTCTGCTTAATAACTGTCCACCATCATGTCTAATCAGTTCCCAAAGTCACTTTCAAAACTGTTACTGGAATGAAATAAGATACTCAGGATATGCCTGCGTATCTCTGAAAATGACAAATATCTTTGGATCTGCAGGATCGTCTACAACGCTGTCATACAGTTCTGGCTGGCCAGGGTTCTTTTGTGGTGGTGTTCGTATCTGAGTTTGTCCCTGGGTGTATGATCCTGTGAGAACTTTACAGAGGAAAATGTATCGGTTGCCCTGACCATCTGTCGGTGCATATCGGTCCCTCGCAGCATAGGCGGCGTCAGAGGTAAAGTACGCTCCTTCTCCTAGGGCATTATCTGGAATCATAAAATATAACCTTGCATAAATACGTCCAAGTAGCAACAATGTAAAACCGTCTTAAAGGTTGTTGGAAATGTTGCTGGTTAGTTCGTGGTTGTGAATGAACCTCACTTTCTTTGTCGCAGTAGCTCCTGTTGAAGCCATACGTCATGATGCTCATGGTCGCCTCTCGTGGAGTCCCATGCCACAACGTCCTTTCTACTTGTGCGCCAGGGTTCTGCGTCTCCATCTGTTGTTTTTTTTGGCTTGGTACTGTTGGTAGAGGGTCTTGCTTTGAACTCTGTCGATCTGGACACATAGCAATGAGCATCAGCACAATAGTTTGTTTGTTCAGTGTTAAATTCTCAGGTATATTCCATGATGGCCGCTTGTAAATAATCCAGTAAGAATACCCAAAAAATGATTGATATTAAGAGCAACGAGTCAAAACATGTATCAACTATTTCAAAGGGTCTGATTGATATTTATGTTTTAAGAAATTCGATTTATGTAAATTCTAGAAAATTCAATTTCGGACAAAGAATGGCTACGTTATGGTCATCAATATTGTTTTCAATATGGAAGCTCTTCCTGCTGTAGACGTCCTTAATGACGGATTCACAGGCTTTGAACACACCCAGGGACTGGGAACAAGCACATAACATTTTTGGTTTCATTCCCGTGGTTTTGGGTTTGCTTGTTGCCAGCCAAGTCAGCGAGCGTGGTGCTTGATGAGATGACGTCTCCAGAGGCTAGAGTGTGTCACTTACCCTTCGTATCTGTGCAGGCAGATTTCCCAAAGCTCCTGTAAACGTCTGCTGTACCCTGTTGAATTCTAGGTTTCCATTTGGTACCTGTCGAATCTTGACATCTTCTGTAGGAGTCATGCCATCCCATGTGCTTGGCAAGTTGGCGGACGCTCCTTAAATGATATACATAAAACTGAATATATTTTCATGCAGGTGAATGACAGCTTGGGGACATTATGCCAGTGACAGAGATAAAACATGAGCATGACGGAAGCACGAGGGGATGAGGGCACGATGACAAATAATTAGCCAAATGACAGAACCTGACGAGGCAATATGTCTCTCAACAGCAATGCATGGACGGGAGCCTCTTCTACCCGGCTATGCATAGGTTATGGCAATTAATACTTATTTATGTGAAAATGCCAGAAGATATGTTAGATTGCAAGTTCGTGTTATACACTTTTGTCTATCATTACTTCTTTGTGCAAGGGATATTCCAATATTCGTAATGGTTAGCTGCACTCATTTAGAAGAATGATAACAGTGTGCATACAATTCTATTTAACCAGATATATTGTTCATAGATACACTACGAAAGATGATTATCAAGGAAACGGTACCGCCCTGATTAATTACCAACAACATTAAATTGATGATAATCAACATATACAACAATTCTAGTTATATGACGGCAATGTGTAAATAACCAACCAATCCAGTGATCAACATGGTGAGCATCGATCTACGCAATTGGGATACGATGACATGTGTCGACCAAGTCAGCGAACCTGACTGATCTCCCGATCCCGTTAGTCGCCTCTTACGACAAACATGGGTTGCCGAAGACCAATTCTATCCTGGATCTTCAAGGGTACGGGGAAAAGTACATGTACGCACATTGTTTTGAGTAATCAACATTTGAGAAACTCATATATCCCTGCTTTCCTAACTTTACCACAAAAATGTAACCCAGCAATACTTCACCTGCAACTTTATCTCGACGAATCATTCTCACTGTGTCAGTCGGATCTTCTGAAGGATACTCTACCCATCCGGTGAAATCAAAGGTATATCCCTCGTACTCCAATTTGTCCTTTTTTTTATGTGTGTAAGCTTTCTCCAGCATTGCATTAACTTTCTTATCATATGCAACAACTCTCTCATCGCCTTCTTCTGTTAGCTCTACATATGACCATTCAACAACTCTTTGTAGATCGTCGGCGTATTCCTCGTCTTGGCGCTTCTTGTCCAACGCTCGAATCATCTCGTGAACCTTTTGACTTGCATCAGGGAGATTGTTCTTTAGGCCGTGCAGAGAGATACGTCCTAAGGCTCTGTTTACAGTGATAGTAACTCCACAGTCTTGTTCAATCTTTTTGAGATCATTGATCTGAAAAGAAATCGCATGACATCCCATCAACTGAAATGATGTCTTCTAGATCTCCCTTAGTACTCCCAAATGAACGGAAATACACTCACACACACATACATTATAACATTACATACATTACATGCTTGCGTGCGCACATTTCCTTGCCGAGGAGGCGAAGGTATCGAAGCACAACTGATTCGCGTCAAAATTGTATATTTTGTACATCATTGTTTAAGAACATGTATGGAAATCATGAACTCACCTCATCTGGGGACCACACTTGAACAGACTTCTCCTGTATAAGTAATGTGTCTGCTTTGCTGTCCCAGTCTTTGTAAATCATGTCAACAGCTTTATTCACATTGGCGTCAACGTCGGTGTAAATCCATATCTTAACGTCTGATGGGTTAGGAACAGCCCGGGCTGCAGGAGGTTCTTTTCGAACGGGAGGATCAGGTCGAGGGGCCTGAACAGGTGCATCACGCTTCCGTTCCTTACTGCTGAACAAGTTGCCAACTGCCTTAACTGCTCTGGCAATCGACATTGTAGCACTTTCATCTCGCTTTGCTTTGTCTGACTTTAGTTTATCCCTGTAGGCTTCCAGTTCCTCGTCCCTCTCTGCATCAATTTCTTAAAAAGAAATTCCATCTCTAATCGTTTTTTTATTGTTTGATGTTTAACGCCGCACTCAGCAATACTCCAGCTATATGTTGGGGTCTATAAATTATCTAGTCTGGACCACACAATCCAGTGATCCACAGCATGGTCATCGCTCCACTCAATTGGGATACGATCCCGTTAGGCAATTCTAACCAGGATCTTTACGGGCCCCATCTCTATTCAATAGACACACATGTGCTGCAGAGACAACCCCTTCAAACATAATTGGCATTGTACTACAAGGACGTTGTCTATGATTAGTTAATGATTTACAATGAATCAATGTTGATAAATCATTTATATCTTGTCATATACATTATATGCTGACTGACCATCTGAACTAACTTGGGCCGAAGGTCTACATTCTTCATGAAAAATTGTGTGTCTATCTAAATACAAAGATTCAAACTTGTGACAAGATGAATGAAAGGCGGCATTAAAAAATGTCCGTCTCAATGTTACCTTTCTGGGACGAAGGTAGTGTTCCTCCAATAAGCTCAATGTATTTCCTATGTTCAGCTTCAAATGCCTAGAAATAACAGAAGCAGTTTACTTAAAAGAAAGATTCTACAAAATTACAATATCCCCACAGTAATATATTTAGGTGGCATTTTAGAAGCTACAGAACAGATGAAGACATTTTTCTGAGGTTGTTCTGAAATTGATTTCCAGAGTACTGGACCGGCTTTAGAGATGGTTCTGTCACCCCAGGAGCTGGAGCAACCAATATAGACAACAAATTGCTGGATCATACAGATGGAGCTAGGTCAAGATGAAGAGTAATGAAAAGTAATAAAGAGTAATCACCTGAATTGTCCTCTCGTCTCCGGGGTAGACAATAAATAGCACATCATTGATGGTCGTCTCTGGGTTGTCCTTCCCGAACTGGACTACAGTGTCATACATCAGCTTAGCAACAAGGTCTCTGGAGTATCCGAGGTTACCTGTTCCTAACGCAGGGATGGCCATTGTCTTCCAGCTTGACTGATGAGTCTTCGTGAGGAGGGCATTGAGCGTGTCCGTGAAGGTCTTTTAATAAAACAAAGTGAATTCTTTAATATATATGCCATGTAGAAATTAAAATCATTATACATTTTATTTTCGTTCTATCAACATATTGATTATAGGAATTGCTTTAATCAAAGAGATATAATTTTTATTGTTGAAAAATGTATTGATTCGGATAAAGTACAATGACATGTGAACTTTTGAACACAGATAAGGTCAACATGTTGAATATATTAAGTTGTGGGTCATACTTAAATGAGAGGTGCACCAACCACAATAAAAGACATTTATACTTTATATCAAAGTCAGTTTGTGAGATAAAGCCGGATATTGGACACATTTCGACAGTCCCATATACAAACAGTTATTTCCCGTCTTCATTAGTCATCTAATTACTCGTGTATACAGATTCGTGAAACTAGAAACCTTAGATACTATGACAGGCAGATCAAAACTTCACCTTACATTCATGATCAAAACGTTTCAATCTTACTACCTAAATCAGAATGCAGTGTTCACTTCCGTCTTAATTACATTAATTCCAGTCAGAGAAATGCAGTAGAATGTTGAAATTCTATGTTCTGTGCTAATGATTTGATTATCAAATTGCGACTATGGGTAAAACCTCAATGTAAACATACTATACCGATTGGTACCTTGCACAGGGAGTATGTGTTTTTGCCAGAGGATTTGGCCTTTTATTTTCAGTTTCAAGTATTTCAAGAACCTTCCAAAGAATGCATCAACGAGAATAATTTTTTGTTGTAGTTGTTTCAACGCCGGTCTCAAGCAATAGTTATTCCGGCATCGATATCAATTGGCATCGATTAGTTTGGGATGGGACAATGACATGTGTCAACCATGTCAGCGAGCCTGACCACCCGATTTTAGGAGTTTAAGGAGTTTATGGAGTTTAAGGAGTTTGCCAAATGTTAGGAGCTTATGAGCCAAATGTCAGGAGCTTATGCCATACGTCAGCAGTAAAACTTCAGGAGTTTAGGCCAAACTTCATGGAGTTTATGCCAAACTTCAGGAGTTCGGGACTCTATGCCAAACTTCAGGAGTTTATGCCAAATGTCGGGAGTTTATGTCAAACTTCAGCAGTTTATGCCAAACTTCAGCAGTTGAAAGAGTTTATGCCAACAATTCAGCTGGAGTTTATGCCAAAATTCAGGAATTTATACCGAACTGCAGGAGTTTTTTCAAAATTTCTGGAGTTTATGCCAAACTTCTGGGGTTTATGCCCAATTTAGAAGTTTATGACCAATTTTCTTGACCTTAAGAAAATTCTTCACGAGGTTTCCAGAAATCGTTTTTGAAAAGTATAGGATCGTGAACTTCATGTACATTTAGTATCAAAACAAGCATACCTCTATCCTCGCTTCACAAACGTGTTTAAGAATAAGTGCCTGAGTATTACCTTTTGGCCCGTTATGGCCTTCCATTGTGGTAGAACACAGTGGTAAATTTGTTCCACACATTGCATATCGCCTCCTTTTGTGACAGCGATACCTCCCATGGGGACACCTTGTGGGTACTTCTTCTTGCATTCGATCTGGATTGCCTTGCCAGCATGCTTCAACAGTGACTTAGACACTTGACCTTGACTGAGATCGAGATGAGTGTTGCTGGAGTTGACGATCACATCAGCCTAACATCAAGAAGTGCTTGCAGCTATAGTGGGTGAATGATTTTATGTTTACGCTGCTTTTAGCAATATTCCAGCAATATCATGGCAGAGGACACCAGAAATGGGCTTCACACATTGTACCCATGTGGGGAATCGAACCCGGTTTTTCGGCGTGACTAGCCGACGCTTTAACCACTGGGCTACCCCACCGCGCCGATTGCAGCCATAGACTCATATAGTTCATGAGATGGTAACAATAACAAGTTAAAGTTCAAAGCTAACATGACAAAAAGAGTTTGGGTTCTAACAAAAGCAACCAAACCCTTCCAAAATCTCTCCAAACAAATGTCTGCTAAAAGCAGAGTCCATTATGCAATTCAGACAAAATCATCAACAGTCTTTAGGTGTCAGTATCAATTGCTGATGATATTAGGTGTTAAAATAGTTTTAGCATTTGTAAATATACTCATGCCAATAATGGTTGTCACCCCTTTAATTTTTAACTGGAGAGGGATGTAGGTGGGGGTGAGGGGTGGAGTGGGGAGGGGGTGACAACCATTATTGGCATGAGTATATATGCGTCTATTTTGCAGTATTTTGTGTAAGTTGCTTCCACATAGCATTGATGTAAAGAACCATTCGCTTTTGTTTGGACTCAAAGTTTGAGTATAAAATCCCTGACGTACTGATATGAAATTTAATATCATTTACTTCTGACGAACTATCTCACCTCCTCTACTCCCATGTCAGCTTTCACAAGTAGAATCCTGGGTTTAAGTCTGTTGGAAGTGGGGGGAGGGTCTTCCTCTAGACCACCGGATGCTTCTCCAAAGTCATCCTCCTGGACTGTATCACTTTCATAGCGACTTGCATTTACTACATATCAAGAAATACATAAATCTGTCAACACCATGAGCATCAGTCTATGCAATTGGGTAATCTCAGTTAACTGGTGCAAAACATTAAACAAAAAACCAGATAAAAAAATACAATGACAATACGAGGAAACAGCGATTCTTGATTAATTACCAAAACGTATTCCACTAAGGATAAAAAGCAAAAAAAGAAATGACGAAATCCATCTCAATTGTTCATGGCCTGGTTTTCCATTTTCAGTTTGTTTTTGTTTTTTTGTTGTTGTTTTTTTCTTTTATATTTGTGTGTCTTGTAACATTTTTTGAAGTGACAATATTCACAATACATTTACCACTATTACAATTATACATTACGTTAGTAAGTGTATTAATGGACAAACACGCCCTTATAACTCACACTTTCTGTGACCCATTCCTCGACGTTGTCCCCCATGGAGGGAATCTCTTGTATTTAAGCCCCCATCATTGCCCTTCACATTTCCCTCACCAAAGACATCCATTGCAATGTCCCACAATGGCGTACACTGTGGCCAGTCTTCAGTACAAAGGAAAACATGCTTCACGCTACTGTCTCGGTTGTCACAGAAGAATTCGTGCACAGCTTCAACCACAGCCTGCAAGGCGTCGTCAGAACTAAGATACAGTGATACGGTTCGGGTATTGAAAGCAGGAAATGCCACAGATCTCATGCTCTTCTTGGCAGCAGTTTCCAAACTTTCGCAGACAACAGTCTTGATGACGTACTCAGGGTCGTTGTCACCCGTTGGTCCAACGCCATAGATAATCATTCTGCAGCTGAGAGCGCCTGCTGAACTGTTGACGACATCCCCTTCCGTCATCTGACCTGGCAGCCGTCGGATCTCTGAAACAGCTGCATCTCCAGCTGCAATACAAATTGGGGAATACGTTAGTCCAATAACGATGCTGGGTAATGAGAGAATGTATTCATTCCCTGACCATAACGTTAAGAGTGACTGAGTGAGTTAACTTTTACACCGTTTTTAGCAATATTCCAGCAATATCACGGAGGGGAACACTTGAAATGGGCTTCACACATTGAGCCCATGTGGGGATCGAACCCAGGTCTTCGGCGTGACGAGCGAACGCCTTCACCACTAGGCTACCCACTGCCCCGATAACGTTAAGAGAATATTCTTTTGTCACATTATTGATTAAGTTGCAGAGCTGTTATCGTTAATGCCTCATTTAACAATGGTGCAGCAATAGTACCACAGGGTACACTTAAACCTGGCCCATCACTCAGTAAGTGAATGGAATCAGGGCCCTAACGTTTTAACCACAATGTTACCCACCACCCATAGAAGCTTGAATCATAACATTGGATGAACCTACATTAGAACAACTCAACCCATAACATCTCACTTCAGAGAGTGCGATTGTGCAATAGTGTAGATCAGAAAGACTGGAAAATTATTAAAATATCCACTCAACTTCATTTCAGAGAGTGCGATTGTGCAATAGTGTAGATCAGAAAGACTGGAAAATTATTAAAATATCCACTCAACTTCATTTCAGAGAGTGCGATTGTGCAATAGTGTAGATCAGAAAGACTGGAAAATTATTAAAATATCCACTCAACTTCATTTCAGAGAGTGCGATTGTGCAATAGTGTAGATCAGAAAGACTGGAAAATTATTAAAATATCCACTCAACTTCATTTCAGAGAGTGCGATTGTGCAATAGTGTAGATCAGAAAGACTGGAAAATTATTAAAATATCCACTCAACTTCATTTCGGAAGAGTGCGATTGTGCAATTGTGTAGATCAGAAAGACTGGAAAATTATTAAAATATCCACTCAACTTCATTTCAGAGAGTGCTATTGTGCAATAGTGTAGATCAGAAAGACTGGAAAATTATTAAAATATCCACTCAACTTCATTTCAGAGAGTGCGATTGTGCAATAGTGTAGATCAGAAAGACTGGAAAATTATTAAAATATCCACTCAACTTCATTTCAGAGAGTGCGATTGTGCAATAGTGTAGATCAGAAAGACTGGAAAATTATTAAAATATCCACTCAACTTCATTTCAGAGAGTGCGATTGTGCAATAGTGTAGATCAGAAAGACTGGAAAATTATTAAAATATCCACTCAACTTCATTTCAGAGAGTGCTATTGTGCATATAGTGTAGTTCAGAAAGACTGGAAATTAATGGACAAATCCAAAAAAACGATCAGCTTACATCGTGCTTCTGATGCTAAAAATGGTTTATACTAACCTCTACTGATCACTTCCCAACCTTGCTCTGAATCACTGCTTAGTCCAGGAGTGACTTCCACCACAACTGCATCCACGTCTGGGACCAAGGAAACCAAATCTCCCACAGCAACATGCAGCTGCGCTTCATTTGGATGATAACAAACGAAGGCAACTTCATGGACCATGGATGTTTCGTCTTCACTCACATCTTCAGTATTGTCTTTGTTGGCTTCCCTCAGTGAGATGACGCATCTGGAATCGCGTTCAATCTTTTGCAAGACAGAGGATGCGCCTTCTAAGTAGCCTTTCATTCCTGGACGTGACATATTCTGCATGTGTTTTGTTATTCTTTTAGTGATGCAGTCTATTAGCTTGATGGCATGTGGCTGTCCAGCTTTTGTGGACTTCAAAGACAAAGCAAAATCAGGACCTTTGTTTCGTCTTACAAAATTGACACAAAACTGCTCCAGTTGTTTCTCTATTGCGTCAAGTTCATTCTCACAATGGAGCATCACAAATTTTAGTTGGATTGCATCACTCTTATATGGCACAGTGTAAATGGTGTTTCCCTGAAAGAACTTTTGCAGGACAGACTCTACGGGCGCACAATGTTTGCTGACTGCGGTTATGACTATTTGATGCTTCTCAGGTTCTGGGGTGATGATGACTCTATCCTCGTGTGCTCGAGTAAGTTCCGACACACATTCCTTGAACATAGCTGATGACAGTAGCATCTGACTTTCGCGATCAAGTGGCAATGTGATTTCTTTCAGTGAGGTCCCTATGTACCTTAAAACATCTGCGATCTTATCTTCAGTGATATAGTAAACTATGACCCCTTCTTTACCTGGTTCCCAAGATCCACTCAAAGGAGAAGGCTGATCCTGTAGGTTTTTTATGAGAACCTCAGATACAGCCCTATGATGCAGAAGTTCGACTTGTTTCGGAGTAAATCTACTTACGTTTGTCTGCTGCTGTATTTTACTCAATTCCTCATAAGCTTTCATTTTGCTACATTGAACATCCTCCTTTTGACCAGTGAACCGTATTTCCCCTTTATCGTCATCCACTTCCACAAGCAAGTTTTCAGTTTGTATAGTTTCCAACATTCCTTGCATTTGTAAAAGCCTCAGTTTTGCTGGCTTTGTGGACAGTTTGTCCTCAATTTCATTTTTCTTCCTATCGTACTGTTTTTGTATGCCATCTACAGTCTCTTGTATTTCACTGACAATGTTGGACAGCGTTTCCTCAGGACCTGTAATGACAATGACTCTTTCCTTGTCTGAAAACACCTGTATTTCCTGTGGAAATTGTGTTTCTGTCACTTTCGATTTGACTTGAGTCCATATATCACTACTGACCGAAATCTTCTCCACTTTGACTGAATTCTGTTCATTTGTAAACTCAGCCTCTGCATTTTCTCTCCAGTTTTTACAGATAGATCTTGCATCTGGAGTATTCAATGAAAAATTGGGCGTGAAGGTTGCCACCCTGTCTATCAGATTCAAGTCAATATCTGTATTGGCATTCGCCATTTTCTCTTTAAGACAAACACTTGCTGTATTGTTTTCCGCAAGATGTCTTAATGTCCATTCATCCAAATCAGAAACTGTGAATGTGGCCGGCAGTTTTGAACAAGGTGGTTCCAAGAAGCCTCCAGACTCTCCAAGACACTGGAAGTAAAGGCTAACTTCAACTGGAAGATTCATCAACTCGTGTTTTCGTTTGGACACACTCTCAGCAACTGCAAATAGCACAATTTCACATTGTCAGGGTGAAAAACAACAAATTACCGGACGGACCTAAGAAAGCACAATTACGCAAAACAAATTTCATACTTATAATTATAATGTCACGTCATGATTTTTGATGTGGGTTATTTTCCACAAAAGACTAACGAAACGTGTTAGCGCATTATATATTGTTTTCATTGCTGAGACCTTTTGCATTCTGGAACCTGATGACTGCATATCTGTCTTGACTGTTCCTGGTGACATCTTCTACATCAGCTCCACCACTTCGCCTGGTGTTCTCGAAGTATAGCTTCAGCTGTTCCTCTGTTATCTGATCTGGGATGTCCCACACTGTTATACTGGTTGTCTCTGGGACAGTCTCGATGTTGAAGGCAACTTCCTTTCCTCTTTGTTTGAAAGGTTTCTCCTTCATTGTATTTTTCAGGAACTCCAAATCTGTAACAGATGTGTTTGTAACGGCCAAATTGCAAAATGCAGTTTCTGTCTCATACTAATTTGGTTTTACTTGATAATTAGTCACTGTGGGTTTTTTAAATGTAGATGATTATGCAACCATAGAAAGGTCAATCTCATTCATGTCTTTTCAGTAGATAAGTTTTCGTTTCGTGTTTAAACAAATTAAAATAATATATATGCTCCAAAAAATATGGGGATCGAGAAATATGAAGTGAATGCCAATGATTTTAACAAAGATAAGTGTTGACGACGAAGGTCCTAGGTCCAAGCGGTAATGTCCATGAAATGAAGGGTTGTAGCGATCGATTACAAGAGCGATTATTTTGACATATTGGTCTGTTTGTCAATTGTATTGATCCAGTTACAGTGGAATCCAATTGACTTCATTCATATTTAATTCTGTGAATATAATAATTGGCTATACCATAATAACACTTTATCGTAGTAATGCAGCCTATCAAATGTTTACATACTACTTCTGCAAGTGTAACAAGTACAAAACAAGTGTGTAACAAATACAAGTATGTAACAAGTACAAAATATACAAATTGTAAAATGTTCTGGAAAAGCAATCTATTTTAATATGTCTTGTCTTATGTTCCTGTTTGGAATCAGTTCATAACACCTTAAACAATAATACAATTCTTAGTGAAAAGGTTTACATTTTCACAAGTCCATGATTTATTTTTAGTCACCACTGGGTCATGGGTGGAAAGTAGTTCCTATGCAAATTAGCCAAGTCTTAATGAGGTCAGGTCTGCTGTCTTGTCCTTGGTTTTTATTGGCTGAAGATGTGCAGCATCTTGATTGGATGTTGAATTTAGTTGCATTTGGAAAGTGTGAAGTTTGTTCACTTGCTGTCTTTCTCCCAACCTGGCAAGGTGGTTTGAAAGTCATGGATGGAGGATTTTGACTTTGGTGAATTACAGGTTAGTTACACTTGGTTTTATATAAAAGGAATAAAATACAAAAATATGTTAAATTGTTGAAAGGTTAATTCAGTATTATTGTAACTGAATTTATGCATTTGGGGGAGATATATTTTGACCTATGGTTAGAATCGTTGGTGTCAATAATTTCACTTACAATTGATTCAGATTAATGTTTGAGTCCAAACAAATTGTACGTTTAATTTACTGGTGAGAATTAGCATTTCCATGCTAATTAAAACATACATATTCTAGGTCCTTGGTGTTTTGTTGGTGCCTCACAACATGTGGCCAGTTCGAAACAAGTTGTCCAATAGATGGTAAGACACGTTGATGTTTCATTGTTATTTGAAGATTCCTATGGATATTAATATGAAACTGAACCATTGATTTTGTGATGTCAATTTGTTTTGAGTTCTTTTTGTATGTTCAGTGGTAGTGCTGTGATTGTTAATTATCTGAACAATGTGCAATCAAATGAATGTGATAAAATAGGTATTTTGATGGAGTGTTATATATTCATATACATTGTTTCAGACTTGTATTATTTATACAAACTACCGTAAAAAATCCGGACTACAGCCTCAACGGAGTTGTGTTGTTGAGTGAGATCCATCCCCGTTATACAAGGTCGAAATGTTCATACACAAATAATTCCACAGCATGTCACGTAAATGTGTCAAATTTTACTTGAAACTGAAAATATGTAATCCTGATGGGTCCTGTTGGTGTATTCATTTCATGTTTCTATCAGATCAAGGTGATGGGGTAGCCTAGTGTTTAAAGCGTTCGTTCGTCACGCCAAACACCCGAGTTCGATTCCCCACATGGGTACAATGTGTGAAGCCCATTTCTGGTGTCCCCGTCGTGATATTACTGGAGTATTGCTACAAGCGGCGTATAACCATACTCACTCACTCACTTCAAATGAAAAAGTCTGTCACATGTTATGAGATTGTTGCAAAACGCTTGCATCCTACCTTTGAAATCTTCCGAGAATGTTACCAAAACATCTCCATCTTCTTCCCCAAACAGAAGCTGCCGGACATCAAGATGTGTCTTCCCCTCCATGTAAAGGATCAGTGCATCATAACTGTGCATGACCGGTACGCCCCTGAGTAGTATTTTGTCCTTGTACATAACTTGGGGTGAGGCCAGCTTTACCTGCAGCAGTCTACCAGACGGTTTGTGTTCTCTTGTGACTACTCTCTTCGCAACTTGAAACAGTAAAAAGCATAAGAAAATAAGGACAACGTCATTCACAGCTGAACCGTCAAACACTTGGCTATTATGATACATGTATACTCATTTAAAAAGGTAGGGGTACTTCATTTTCAAATTACGATTGAAAAAATTGGGAGATACAGTGTATGTCGGAGTCAATCAATGTTGATGTGATAATAATGAATGTTTAGAAAGAGCATCACCACTTGCACTTCCTTATGACCATAGTTGTCTGTACAGTAATCGCTCTTGAAAGATGATTGGTGTATGACGTGAAATTTGCATATTTACGATTTTCATTTTCAAACAAAAATACGACGGCTAGAAACACAAACACTAACAACTGTGTGTCGCAAGATGATTGTCAAAATTAATGGTCTACAGTGATCTATCGACCTTCTTTAAAACCGTCAAAATCAAGAATGACGCCCAATGCATGTGTATGGGGCTACTGCTTTGTGCATGTGCATTCCATGCGTTGTGTTTAGGGTTGGTGATAAAGAGAAATGGTGGTGCGTTCATAAAATGTCTGTCTTTGAAAAGTGTGTTAACCTGGAAAAAATCTACCAAACTTTCTATTCAACACTGTTTAAATGAAAATCAGTAATGACTCATCTAACGTATAGTACCCATCAACAGTTTAGACTCACATAAAACACTTACTATGTCTTATGTATGCGTGCATGCGCGCGCGTGCGTGTGTGTGTGTGTGTGGTTACATCGAAGATTAATTTCTTAATTTGGGGGAACCAACTGCAAACTTGATGTAGATGAATTGCACGAGGATCATGCATCAAAGAGACGAAAAACATGTGCAAATATCGTGCATGTGAACAGCTGCGTTCTGGTGTAAAGTTGTTTAAGAATTCGCAAATTTGCACTGAGTTTCATCATTTATTGAACTCATGACAATAATCTTTTCAACGTTACGCATTTGCTTTACAATACATTAATCATGTCTATACAGAATCTTTAAAGGGGAAGTGTACACGAATAAATCACATTTATTCTTATGTGAATCAAAGTGAACTGTTTTAATTAGTTAATACCAATGTTTGAAAATATACACTCATTTTTCTTACAATGTAAGTATAACCCTCAAAATAAGTGCTGAAATGTTATGCCAATCTGAGGTATTCGTTTGCCGAGCTAAACAGGCCTGAGTTACCGCCCTTTGATTATGACGTAATTGGTGCCACTTGATTTTAAACTGGTCTCCTGTCTAGTCCAAAATCAAAAGATAATAATACTGATATTAATCACGTGAAAAAAGGTTTGTGAAAATACGAAAGAAGCATAAGAACAGAAAATGTAAGCAGCAGGACGGATTGATCGTGTGTATTTTCATTCATTACCACCCCTCAGTGAAAATACCAATATGTATAACAATGTTGACGTCCGTATGACATCACTATCGGGAATTTAAGCGACTCTTTCAAAATGGCGTGTTCACTGACACGAGTAGGCCGGAGTTTTCGAAGGAAATTTTTGTTGTTTCAAGCAACGTATATGCATAAATGTGACATGTAAGTAGTCCGTAAATTTTGTCAGTCTACTGGTTGTTATTTTCTTTTTGTTTTCATTGTGACCAAGGGAAATAGTCAGAAATTAAGAGAAGTACCGTCATCGTTATGCGTGAGTTTGCGTCAGTTATGTCGTCATGCTTTCAAAAACTATAATATGTTGTGAAAATCATTTTCGTGTACACTTGCCCTTTATACAGTATGATATATTTTGCAAAATCTAGTTTAGAACAGTTGACTAAAGTAAGTGGCTACATTTACACTAGTGAGACCTTGCCATGTTTATTATTAATGACAACAAGCATTGTCACTAAGGTGACATAATCCCCCGCAGCAAATTATGAAATCAAACTTATAAAGTAATGAAAGTTAAATGTCAACAAAAGCATGACCAGTCAACCGCTCTTGATATCTTGCTCTTTAGGTGTTAAAACATGCACATATTTTCAAGACCGACTTTGACTTTGACATGAATGTCATAGTGTATGAAATATGCAAAAATAGCACTAAATAAATTGTTAATTGAAATACATTCAAGAGAAGTCTTGAAAGTCTATGAAGAAAATCCAGTGAACCGTTCTTGAAATATCTTGCTGACAATTCAGGTTAACATGCTGAAATCTTCAAAGTGTCATCGTGACCCTGAAAATTATGTGAAGGTCACCAAAATTGACTGGGCCCTGGGCCTTCCCTAGATGAAGCTTGGTGTCATATATAAAGAAAATCCAGTGAATATTTTTTTGCGATATCTTGCTGACTATCTTAACATGCCATTTAACATTCTGAAATCTTCAAAGTGTCCCCGTGACCTTGAAAATTATGTGAAGGTCACCAAAATCGACAGGGCCCTGTCCCTTACTTAGATAAAGCTTGGTATTGAATATGAAGAACATCCAGTGAATGGTTCTTCAGATAGCTTAACATGCAGGTAAAACGTTAAAGTCCCCTTGTGACCTTGAATGATGGTCAAGGTCACCAAACCTGACTTGGACCTTTCTTATACTGTGATGAGCCTAGGTACCAAATATGAAAAGAATCTAGTGAACGGTTCTTAACATTTCCAGTTCGTATATTCATATTCGGACGTACGGACGGACGGAAGGAGCCTAATACTATATCCCCTAATAACCTTTTGGTTATCAAGACACAATTTTCTGCATTCCGTAAATGTTATAACTCTTCGTTTGTATCGTGCTCCAATTACATTCTGTGAACCTGGGTCGATGGCCTACATTCGAAATAAACAACATTCGTTAATTTTCATCATAATTTTACAGATGACATAAGGAGTGTTATCTATTTCGTTCGGATCTTTGGGACAAACTCTTCAAGATTATCATGAAGTGATTTATTCGAGCATATTTAAGTGGATATTCAACGCAAGTAAGAGAGTTCTTATGGACGTCAACATCTTTATTATAAGGAACCGAACATCATTCACCTGATGAAGGATATACTCCGAAACTGTGTTCCTCATAACACAGAAGATGACATCCATCAAAACTCTCACTTCTAAATGCCAATCAAAGACCTGTACTCAACGCACTATAAATATGCATTTCAAGTAGTTTAAAAACTCTTACCTTCTTCAGTCTCAAATGTTATATAGATAACGCCTTTCTTGTCATTCCGTTTCAGATCAGTTGTAGGACCTCCACCTGATTTGCGTTTGTTCTCAAAGTACAATGCAATTGAGTCGTCCGTGGCCTTTTTGTCGTAGCCTCGTATCTCAATCGTGGTCGCGGGCTCTTTGTCTTCCTCATCTGCATCGGATTGCCCATCTAGTTCCTCCATCCCTGCTTTCACTACCATCAAGGTCATACCTCCAACACTATGGCTACTCTTGTTCAAAACTCGATCTGCCACTGAAACAATGTAATTGTGATTGAGACAACGTTTCTGAACTGACGCACGTCGGTATTCTGTTGTGAATGAGGGGCGGTGGGGTAGCCTAGTGGTTAAAGCGTTGGCTCGTCATGCCGAAGACCCGGGTTCGAATCCCCACATGGGTACAATGTGTGAAGCCCATTTCTGGTGTCCCCCGCCGTGATATTGCTGGAATATTGCTAAAAGCGGCGTAAAACCAAAACCAGTCAGTCAGGCTTGTGAAAGAGTATGATTTGACGATTTTCATTCTGAGAAGATCGGTTAGGTAGACATATTATATGACTTTCAGTGAGTGAGTGAGTGAGTGAGTTTTACGTCGCTTCTAGCACTATTCCGGCAATATCACCTCGGGAGATACATTGTACCCATGTAGGGAATCGAACCTGGTTCTTCGACTTGACGAGCGAACGCTTTAGCACCTTCGCTACCCCACCGCCCCCATGGCTTCCAGGGCCTTGATTTGAGAATAGAAGGGGATAAAGGCTCCAAATTCATCACTATGTATATGTACCTGCTTGCTCTTGGAACGTGATGTATATGACACCATTTTCTCTGTGGTACTTTTCAATCTCTCCCCCGCCAGATTTTTTCTTGGATTCGAAGTACATCTGTATCGTGTCATCATCAGATTTTGCTCCAAACCCTGTGATTGCGACAGCCTTTGGAGACCAGTTTGGTCTTGACTTTGGCCTCTCGAGTGTTACAGTCAAAGGGTAGCCTTCAAGCTTGTGATCCTTCTTTGCTTCAACATCCTGGGCAGCTAGTTGTAAAATGATATAATGAAATAACATCAAAACAAATATAACATGCAGGAGTGTTATACATTGCCTTGAAAGAAACGCATTTTGATCAAATTTGGCGTCAATGATAAGTTTTGAGAATGGGAAATGTAGACATCATCAAACTACTTGATGTGAAATTTGCTTTTTTAATTTATCCCGAATGGTATACATGATTAAGACATCGATTACAACATGGTTGGTTGGTTTGTTGGTTATGTTTAACGCCATTATTGAACGATACCCTAGCCGTATGTGAGTGAGTGAGTGAATTTAGTTTTGCGCCGCAACTATATGGCGGCGGTCTGTAAATAACCGAGTCTGTACCAGACAATCCAGTGATCAACAGCATGAGCATCGATCTACGCAATTGAGATACGATGACATGTGTCAACCAAGTCAACGAGCCTGCCCACCCGATCCCGTTTGTCGCCTCTTACGACAAGCATGGGTTATTGAAGACCAATTCTAACCCTGATCTTCACGGGTCACCTAGCCGTATGTGATAACTTATTGTACTGGTCCCACTGCCCGTTCATCTATAAGAAACCCCAACAAATCCCATTTTTATTACAATACGCCACCTTATAGCTGGAATATTGCTAAGTATGGCGTTAAACAACAAACAAATGCTATTAGATGTCTTATAACGAGATCTTTCAATAACATATTTACAATGTTTGTGCAAGGCTTTTTCTAGCAGTAAATTCGGATTTTGTTCGCACAATACAAAGACTAAAACGGATATTCTGTACCCTGTTTTGTTTGACTAGAATAATAATATGCCCGATTCCAAAAAGGCGATGATGAACAGAAAACAGACATCTGCTACGTACCCCCATCCTTCATAAATTTGATGTAAAACACATCCTTATTCGGTGAAAACCATGCTCCACTGACACTCCCTCCTCGTGAACGTTTGTTTTCAAAGTACATCTCTAGAGTGTCTTCTGTCATTGTTGGCGGGAACCCTGTTACTGCGATTGTGTTGGTGTCCAACTCAGAAGGACTCTCATCAGGATCGTACAGAGACACTTTCAGAACGCGACGGTTGCATACATGATCCTTCTTCTCGGCTACTCTCCTTGCAACTAAAGAATGCTAAATTGTATCCGTGTCCAAATAACAGTAAAAAGAGAGAGCAACATTCGACTGGATTTCAAGGAAGAATTTACCTGATATGTATGACAAACACAGTTAGTATTTAATGTAAGAAAAATAATAAAACATATGCCACTCCTTAAAGGTCACATGCAACGTAAAACACAACTTTGCAGATTCTGATACCTTTCGGTATGGACTTACCGAAACAAAGCGTCAAAAAATGCAAATTCAACTTATAAAGTTGAAAAAAAACGCGATGAAAAAAAACGCGAAATCGGAGTTCAAACGTTTCACTAATTTTCCCCAGACTTTTCTGGGGAAAACGGGTTTCAACAGCTGGGCTGCGCTCATAGCACGTGCGCAAGTAAATAGGTTCGCGCAGCTTGGAAGCGGGTTGTCGGGTGAATTCTCGGTGAAGGCTTTGGTGTGAGCTATTTTTCTAATGTTTTGTTGATATCTCACAGGCGCGAGATTTTTATATGTTATGACAGTAAATTAACTGTTTATATAACTTCATTTGTCTATTTCACCACACGTTCTTCTTACCGAGTCACTTTCTCAGTTCGATACTTAAAAGCAATGTCATTATTTAGCGTTGACACAATTTCTAACTGTGATATAGATATGTCGTTGTCACAGACAAAACTCAATGTCTTGTTTTATTGACACCTGTGTGTCTGCCTGCCTGTCTGCTAATGACAATATTCAATACACAGCTGCTATCACTGACCACATGCAATTCGAACTTAACACCAATCAGGCTATACACCATAAACAAAACGCATTGTTTATGGCCCGAGTTCGGTCTCTGTCACATTATGTAATTACACAGACAGGCAGGTGTGATACTTGAACACATGACATGTTATGATGTCTGTTGATTGCAAAATGTTATACACAAAAAATGAGCATGTATTCACAAAACCCAACATCTCTATATATACACACACAATGAGCCGTGAAGGCGGCATCTGCTAATGAACCAGCCGTTACACTTGAGTGCACACCCAACCGCTCTGACTGGGTTCGGTATCCCGGCTGCTTCGTTTCGAGGGAGGTAAACCCAAGTACAAAATATTGCACTTTTGATTTGCGATTATACGCTTATAATTTTGTTTATTTGTTTTTTCATAATCAGCAATGCATATTATATGTCATGAAGAAGTGATAATTGTGTTGATTTTTGGGTTGCATGTGACCTTTAAGAGAAATCCACAGTGAGTGGTTTTCACTAGCCATACATATTAACACAAATAAGATAGGAACATAATATATATTCTGAGTACATGAACTTGAGAATGAAATGGAATTTCAATGTCAGTAAGAACTTCAAAAAGAGCTTTTAATGACACCTAGCAATGAACTTTGATATCTTTAAAGTCATTGTCATCATTTGTCACATAAAGTATATAAATTATATAAAGAGTAATACAAAACAACTAAATAAGATCTACCCAGGGGGGTGACGACACAAACGATTGAACAGTTCAGTGAAACTCGGAAAAATACTTGGGCCATTTAAACATAGTTTTTCATACCATTTATTGTTGAATTTTAATTCCCACAATGCCAGGTTTAACAAAAATCAAAGTGGCAATGTTATGCAGTTTTGGAGAAAGGAGTCACACAATTGGAATTATTTTGGAATGTTGATATTTTCTTCAATTCACAAGTTGTCAGTGTTTTCAATCAAACAATGTAAATTCTGTAAGACAATTGTTATTCAGTCAGATATCAAAATATGCCATCTAAATCGGTAATGGGTCCATTAATCTGGGAAATTTGGATCCAGAAAATGCCTAGTAATATCCCTGTGGTTTAATATTACTTTGTCTAAAAATATGTACGAAATATCCAGATTTATTACATTATTACCTTCTTCACTCTCATAAGTGATGTAAGCTGTCTTCTTCTCCTTGTCCATCTTAATCTGTCCTTGTATTTCCCCTCCTCCCGACCTCCTGCTTTCGAAGTACATCTCTAGGATATCGTCAGTGGAATCTGGATCAATTCCTTCAACAAGGATGGTCTGGAGAGGCTCTGAAACAAAGGTCGAGATAAAATATAGTAAAGTTCCTGTAGATCAAATAGTATTTCTATTGTTTTCACCTCGCTTTCATTCATTAGTATAGTCACTAAGAAGTAGTGCTAAAAGTTTACATGTATCCACAATGGACGGTTGTCGAAATTGTATTATCACAAAGATATGCTGAACAAATGAATGGCGCAGCTGATATTTTGTAAGATATTTTAAGATATATACTCATTTCTACAAAATCCCTTGGTAGAATTCATTTTTGATAAATATAGCTTCCTTTATTTGAACAATAACATTCATTTCGATTTACGTCATTACACAGAGAGAGATACTACCTTTCTGCCTCTTATAATTTGGATGTTCATTCATATAGCCCTCTTGTTGAGCAGCAGGAACAGATGGCATAGGATGTTGTTGGGTAGTGAACGACTGATGCTGCTGCTGCTGCTGCTGTTGTTGTAGGAAAGGTTGATGTCTGTAATGCCCTTGATGCTGTTGTTGATCATGTAGTTGCTGAGGAGGAGGAAACATAGAAGATGGTTGACCATGGAACTGCTGATAATACTCCAAGTCAGCTTGATTAGGAGCCCGATAGGGCGGGGGTGGTTGTGCAGGGTATCTTGTGTTTGGGTCAATGATTGGTCGTTGGTGTCTTGTCTGGGGATGATACCAATACAGTGGATTTTGCATCTGAGGAAACCTGTGAATTTGATAACCCGGGTGATGAGTTCCATGAGGTCCAGGAAACCTTTCTGGTCCATATCCAGCATGTGCCATGTTCTGAGGTCCCTGGACGTTTGAATGCACATCTGGGTAGCTATACATATTTCCTGCTGAAGGGAAACCGGACTGGGCATCTGCTTGTCCTTGGTAATACTGTGGAGGTATGTTCCCATGTTGGTACTGACCATGTACGTCGGAAGCCACTGGACCAGTATTGGTTTGTTGGTAAGAAGCAGTCGCAGGATCATTCTGAAACTCATACCCTCGTTCCTGTGAAATGTACTCAGGCTGTTGTGGTAACCCAGGTGGCGCACCTGGAGGTACTTCATAGTTTCTTTTGCTCTGTTCATAATGAGCAGCATCACGCGTGTACTGAATCTGAGTCTGTGGTGTCTGTTCCGGAAGTTCTTCTTCAGCACCTGGAGGTACTTCATAGTTTCTTTTGCTCTGTTCATAATGAGCAGCATCACACGTGTACTGAAAATGAATCTGTGGTGTCTGTTCCGGGAGTTCTTCTTCAGCCATGTGCCATTCTTCATTTTCGTTTCCTTGGCTTTCATAAACATTCTGCTGTGGCGACTCAAAACGGCTCTGAGGTCCTACATCGTGCCGTTCATGTAAATAACGTTCAGTCTGGGGAACATGTAGCTGTGGATGTATTAGAGTGTTAGATGTTCCATAATTCTGTCCGAATCTGTCCCCACATTCAACATCTGACTTGTTACATTCCTCCTCCTTATCTGGATTCGAGGATCCATGCGGATTACATTCATTCTTATCATACTTGGGAGAACGATCTTGGTTATTCTCAAAGGCATCTAAGCCTGCCTCTCTCTGAGGACTGTGCAGTGGACCTTTGGGCCCATACAAGTCATTATCATTGTCAACATGCTTGTAGGAACAATCTGGTTCATTTGCATGGGCGTCTGTTTCCGTCTGTCTCTCAGAACCGGTCAATGGATTATAAGGCCCATACAAATCATCATCGCTGTCATCATTCTTGAGGGGCCTCACTGGTACATTTGATTCGTCGTCTGTGTACGTCTCTCTCTGAGGAGTGTCCAGCGGATTCGGAGATCCAAACAAATCATTATCATTGTCATCATTCTTGAGGGGCCTCACTGGTTCATGTGATTCGTCGTCTGTGTACGTCCCTCTCTGAGGAGAGTCCAGCGGATTCTGGGATCCAAACAAATCATTAACATTGTCATCATTCTTGAGGGGCCTCACTGGTTCATTTGATTCGTCGTCTGTGTACGTCTCTCTCCGAGGAGTGTCCAGCGGATTCGGGATCCAAACAATTTATCATCAATGTCATCATTCTTGAGGGGCCTCACTGGTTCATGTGATTCGTCGTCTGCGTACGTCCCTCTTTGAGGAGTGTCCAGCGGATCCGGGGATCCAAACAAATCATTATCATTGTCATCATTCTTGAGGGGACTCTCTGGTACATTTGTGCCGTCGTCTGTGTACGTGTCTCTCTGAGGAGTGTCCATATCAGCATCGTTATCATCATGGTTGTCGGAACTATCTGGTTCGCTGTCACTATGGGAATCTGTGTCGGTGGACCTCTGCTGACTGATTGCTTCTTCGTTGACATTCCTATCTGGGTATATACTGCCACTCTTGTCGTCAGTGGATGAAACTTCACTTCTGATATCCATATCTTGAAAACTATCTCCACTCGTGTTCCCAAGTGACATGTCAGTCCTGCTGATATTGACCCAACTTTCAAGGGATGCATCTCCCAAATCTGTCTCCTGCTGTGGATGTGCCTCCCCGCTGTTACTGTGGCACGGTGAGACTTCATCTTCAAGTTCTTCTACAGCTTTAGACTTCTGTGAAACTGAATCCTTCTGTTTGCTATCAGAAGGGGAATTGTTGTTATCTTCATCCTGAGTGTCGGTGCATGTCACAGCAGGCAGATCGGTATTAATTTCTGATCCTTTTCCGCCTGTTTGGTTACCAGTTTGAACATCGGTTTGTATCTCAGGAAGCTGGTTATCGTTTGGTTTAGATTGCCTTTCGAGGCTACTGTGAGCATTCTGTTCTTTCTTCTCTTGATATGTCGTTTCTGTTTTATCATTAGAAGCCTCTTCAATCGTCTCTGGGGATGATCTGGCATCCACATATTCATCAGAACAATCCATCTTCTACAACACTGGGCTGTAATGAAATAAATGCAATATTCATTACAACTATCGTAGCTCAAATTTGGCATGTTGTAACATTAGTTCAAACAGGTAATAAAAACACAAGGTTAACGACTCGTGAAGATATGTAGAAATGATCTTTAGCAATTCATGCTTGTCGTAAGAGGAGGCAGGATCGAGTTTTCAGGCTCACTGACACATGCCATCGATGTTGATCACTGGATTGTCTGGTCCAAACTCGATGATTTACAGACCGGCGTCATATTGAGATACTGTTACTGAGTGTACGGTTGAACAAAAACAGCCAATCCATACTTATCGCAAAAACGACAAAGACAAACAGAAATATCTATTAAACAAAATCAATATATGCATTTCTAATGGTGTACACATTCACGGCTGTGGAAGAACATAAGCACCGCATGAGGAGTAATTAGAGACAGATCACAACAGTGCATACAAAAGACATGCCATCGTGATTTTGTCCCCACTACATCGCGGTTTGATGTGAGAAAATGGCAGTCAAGCAATTGGCATGACTTAACTCTCATGCCACTGATCTCAATACAGTGGAATGTGTCAAATCCGGATTCTGTGTAATCCGGTTTTCTCCATTATCCGGACTACTCTCTGAGTTCCGGCAAAATTGTTCTTAATTTATCTTTAAAGCTTGCTTTATAATATGGACTCTCTCAATTACGGATAATATGTAGCACTGTCAAAAGGCTAAAGTAGACGTGAAAGACATGGATGGTATTGGACAGATGCAGATCAATATCAAGAACAACTCTGAGAAGGTAATCAAACTTGGGCAAACCTTTGAATGTAACATGATTAAGATCATTGTTGATAAGGGACAGATTCAGATCAATACCAAGAATAACACTGAGTGGATGCTACATGATTAAGCTGATTGTTTATCACTAGGATATTTGAGGGACACAGTTTCATATCCTGAAGCGGTATCCTCCCAAAACGCAGACCCGTTGAAACAACACTTCTTATAGTTTCATTTGTTTGAGTGGCATTCTAGAAGTTGGTGGTATAGTGATGACAAAACGTTATGGATGATCAACGTCGCCATTGATAAAATAAAGAAGTTGATCATCAATAAAGTTTTGTCATCACTTGTTATGGTTGCGACCGCCTCCGTGGTGTAGTGGTTAGAGCGTCCGCCCGGAGAGCGGAAGGTCGTGGGTTCGACCAAAAGACGTTAAAATATGGTACTTGTTGGTCCCTGCCTGGCGCTCGGCATTAATGAGTACAACAAGGACTGGTCGGCTCGGAGTCAGTATAATGTGTCTGAGTGAGGTATTCATGCTTCACTGCGGCATGGTATCTCAGTGGGCTAGCACTATAAAACCAGCTTAAGTCTGGGCTAGTACAAGCAGCCGCACATTCACATACACACGCATGCACGTCGTCATATGAGCGAAATATTCTCAAGCAAGACGTTAAACCCAATTTCACCTCACCTGTGGTTGGTTGCATCCGTGATTAGTAGAGGTCTGACAATTGGGAGTAGACTGTGTATGTGCGCTGAATTGCATTTGGAACAGTCACAATAGCCTAAATTGATAATTCCCTTTAAACAAAGTAAGCTCAAACCTCGAAATATTTGAGCATTGAAAGTGTGTTCATTAGCCAGTTAGTCAACTTTATGGCATATAAACAAATCTCACTCTAGTTTCTGTCAGTTTTAGTTTTTAGTGTTCCTGATTTCTCTCAAATTAAGTTTTACACCGTAGGTCACTACTATAAGGTACCGTCGTTCAGTGAGACGCAAAGAATATCGGATATAGAGCCACATGTCTGTTGTCCCTAAAATATACTGTCGATTCCCATTGTGCTTTCTTCCAAATGTGTAGAGCAGCACGCTTCCTGGTATATAGGACTTATAAGAGATACAGCTGATAAAGAAAGATATCATTATATCAACACATATTAGAAATAATACGGATAAAGCTAAATATGTGAAAATGTATAAAAGTATGACGATAAAAGTGTGAATATGTACAGATCATGATCAGAGCGTCGCCGGTATGTAAAAACAATAATACATCAAGAGATGAAAAAAAGTGTGAAAATGTACAGATCATTATTATGGTGTATTCAACCTATAATATATACGTACATATGTTATATTTGGAATTACACTTTTCAGTGAAGTACAGATTCTAGTACTTTCGTTATATATTTTATAACATTTATAACATATGTAACATCTGACCACTTTCTAAATGGCATTATGTATTCATATAATATATACAACAAATGAAGATGAAAGTATGGAAATGTACCCATAATGATCAGAACGCAGCTTGTTTATAATATTATGAAATATACAAGAGATAAATATATATAAAGTGTGAAGTAATATTTTACCTTAGTAAAATATATTTTGATGTGTAAAATTACCTCCCTTTCACATTTTCACTCACGTTGGTTCCGCGCCCACATTGCGTTTGTCGTCCAGCGTTTGCTATTTTGTCAATTGTTTGTTTACGGTCACCAAGTCGTTTGTGATGGCCGATGTGAAGCCAAAACACAGGAATGCAGGACTTAAAATTATGGAAGCTTTGGAGTCAATCAAACATTCGCCTCATGATGAAGGGTCACCTAACGATCCGACCACGTCGGCGATATTGACGTCACCAGTTTTCGCTTCAAGTTCACGTGGTATGGATGACGATACTCGTTCTTTGGAACTTGAATGTGAAGCCCTTGAAGCTGAAATGAAACGTCTACACCTCGAGACCAAGCGGATGAAACCTGGTAGAGCGCCTTAGACAGGAATTAGCGGTTGGTTAATCTAGCCAAAGTGTTGAAGATGATAAAAATGGCGTCTCGGAGTCGGATGTGCTCGAGGCTGTGACAAGTAATGGGTGTAAGAAGTCAGGAAAACTAAGAAAACTTGCTGATTATACATGGGAAGATTCTTTTGATACCTTGGGCATACAGTGGAAAACAATACACCTTGGCAGGGGTATTATGTTGAATAATTGGAATGTAATAAAATCTTGGGAAGATGAGGACATATGCGATGTGCAATGTGGACATATGCGAACATTGGTGTATTGAAGGACATGATTCAGAAGAAGGAGGCTGATCTCGCCGACGTGTTAGACTATTAGAAATACATGCGGGATGTGGCACGTCTACCGTCCAGGTATGTGTGGGGCAGCGTGCTATTGTATGACAAGGGTTATCGTCAGAGGCAGCATGATGAGGGGTTCTCATGAGGAAAACCCTACCAGGAAATCAGAGACTTTCAACTTGTACCCAGGCCTAATTCTAACACCTCGAAAGCACTACGTCCTATGGAACAAGACGGTAACTCTAAGCGTCAAGGGTCCCGTGGTCCGTTCACGGGTGATGGGAGAGAAATCTGTCGTCGCTTCTACGGCAGCTGCAGCCGGCCTGAGTTATGTACACTTGCTCATGTTTGTCTGGTTTGTCGCCAGGAAGGACACTCGGCCCACCAACACAACCCCCAGGTTCCGGTGCACAGGAGTGCCGGACCTGGCAGCCAGCCCGAGCCCAGGGCAGCCTACCACGAGGCAAAATACTTTCGTCAAATGACACAAAATCACTAACCTACGAGTCTTGGGGAAAATGGTTACCACAGGGCGACCCAGGCAGAGAATATATTTTAACTGGAATAATGCATGGATTCAAATCAGCGGAACTTGATAACGCTAATTTATTGAATGTTTTTACTTAAAATCGTAACTCTACTTTAGTAAAGAAAATTGAAACAGTGAAACAAATTTGTGAGGGAACAGATCGGGCTAATTATGTGATAACCGGTTCTAAACCCGCAGTTGTGAGCCCCTAGGACCAATTCCCAAAGTCAATGGTAAAGTACGTCTAATTCATGATGGAAAGACTCCCAAACAATGCAGACATGAATTCATACATGATTGATTGTGAGTGATACATTGACCTTAGGTACGCTCTTCGACTTATCAAACCCGGCAGTTATTTTGCTAAGGTGGACCTTAAGAGAGGTTACAGATCGCTTGATACCCAAGCAACTTCGCTTTGACTGGATTACACTGGTGGTTCGGAGGGTTGCTGGCGTAACTTACATTACTCTTACTATTATTCCAATGTATTTATATAGCGCCATAGTCCATCCCATGTGCATGCTCAAAGCGCTTTGTTTTTGTTTGTTTTGGTTTTTTGGTTTTGGTTTTTTTCCCTCGATCATTGGATGTCAATATAAACCATCGTATTTTTCAATCTCATACAACTCGTGCAGCCACTAGGCGCACTAAGTTAATGTGACTTTCCCATCCTTTCGAGGTACCCATTCACAGCTGGGTGGACAGGGACACATAGTCACAGTACTTTGTCCAAGTTTACTGCACGTTGCTGTACCCGCAACTTATGATTTACTGGAACAAAGTTGATAGGCCCTGTCAACAGATTGTTTTCCTGGGAATGAACACTGACACACTGAGTGGGACGTTATCACTTCCTGAGGCTAAATTGGCTGATTTATGAGAACAATTGACAGCAGCTTCCACGCGGATTTCCAGTGGTGGCTGTGTTTTTGGAAACGTTATAACGGAACCACCAACACACGTCGAATGTCTAGTACTACTGTCTACTGTGTGTACTGACGCATGTGATGAAGAGGCAGGGGTCACTACAATGGTGATTTCTATTACATAAACTGGAATACTGACCTGCCAACAAACTGAAACATGGGTCTCATTAACCTATTCAGACAATGGGCTACTTTTCAGCCGATCCGAATTTTCTCGTGTGAAAGTGAAAATAGACATCACAAACAACTATGGTTACACAGAATTGTAATTCCTTGTTTCATAAGAAAATGGTATATACAAATAAGTTTTAATTTAAAACTTTGATAACATCGTATTTCTATATTTTATGGCGAGCTGTAGGCAGCATGGCCTTAACTAAGACGTCACAGACTGCCCCTGTTTCATGAGGTCGTAAAATACTTCACAATGCATCTGGCCCAC